CCACACGGTGCCCACCCTCAGCCCCCCTAGGCTGTGTCCCCAGAAGGCTGTCTGCCACAGTCCCGAGGATACTTACTGTCTAGGACAATTTTTGAAAAGTGCCTCTAGGATGGAGAAGGAAAGTGGAGGAAGAGGGTTGCGAATGGATGTAGGTTTTTTATGAGGTGTGCTTGAAAGGGGGGGGGGGGGGAGGTCTGTGGTGGTCAGCTTGTGTTCGTCCCTCTGGGGTGCTGAGGTTTGTCCTCGGAGCCTGCGGGGACTCGTCTAATGCAACGACAGGTCACAGCGTGGTTGCAAGCAAAGGCAAAACGAAGCCCTTCCGAGAGGAGGTCCCTGGAAAGGGGGTTTTGCAGATGGGGCGAAGCAAGTGTATGTTCAAATACATGCAGGAACGGCAGGCTGAATGAAAAAAAGTACAGAGGTGGGGGGCAGGCACAGGTGCCGGCAAGTCATCTGCTTTATGTTGTGTTACTGGTTATATTCGTATGCAGATGAGAGCACGGCCGAGTGTCCGTGGATGCCTGCGGCTGGCCCTGTGAAAGGGGCATATTCACTTAGTGGACTCCGAAGGTGTTTGTTGTGATAGCCTGGTGCCACAGTTCCTGGGGTGTGAGTTACTAATTTTGACCGGCATTACCGCTGGGAGATCTATATGAACTTGCCTAGGGTTGTTTCCTCTTGAAATAAATGATTATTCCTGAGGCAGGTTTTGGAGGGAGAATAATGCATTAGAGGATCTGACAGAGCTGAAAAAACAGAGTATTTTTTTTAGTGTGCAAGCCCTTCCTCTGGTTACAATCCCTGACATATATTTATAACAGATCTGCCATTATTCGTTTGGGTGCCCAGGTGTGATGGGTTGACCCAATACATGAGGTATGTCTGTATTTATTAGTCCCAAAGGGTATTATACTACATTTTGCAGGTTTGATACATTATTCCATTAAGTAAGTCAAAGGGCCATCATTTTCAAAGGGCTGCTCTAGAACACTTATCTGTAATTTTGTTTCTAGGAATTACTTGTGTGACTAAAGTGGTCCTTCACTAGCACAGTGGCAAAACAGGTCAACGATTCTGTGCTCTGTTCTCAGAGGTAAATTACAGAACGTGACCATGTCATGGGCAAATCATCGCTTACAGTAACCATTTAATAGAGTTATGATTTTCTATTTTGGCACTGTTCTTAGTACATTTGGGCATATTTCATGCACAGAGGTAATGTTTTAAATTAAGTGAAAACCCACTGATGCCAGTGAATCTAGGTAAGCTATTCAATGGAGCTGTGATTCAGTAAAAATGACACTGCAGTGATGCCAACTGGAAGGCAAAATGGTTTTTCGCTTAATTTCGTATTTTCTATACATGGTTTGAAACCCAGAAACTCCATGAGAGTGGACCAGTATATATACGTATAGGTTTTAATCCTACACTATTTGTAGACATATTTAGTGCATTCCCCTGTAGACTTTGAATAGATGAGTTCATGGTTTGAATATAGAAAATAAAATCTTAGCATTGATTGTATTACTGAGCTGTAATTGAAGTCATTGTGTAAAGCTGCTTCAATTCATTTTCTCTAATAAAGTGTGCATTTACAGAAATGTATCTGCCTCGGATGTGGGTTTAAGAAGGCATCAAAGGGAAAGTACAGTCCAGGTTTGCAAATGCTAACACGAAGGTAGCCTGGTAGAAATGTTGTCGTCTGCTGGCTTTGGAAGCACCTTCTGGAGCTTCACCGATTCCACGATAAACTGGGGGGAGGAGGAGTGAGAGCGAAGCAGAGCGAACAAAAATACCCAATCCCTTTGTTCTCATTACGCTGGGGAGAGTGGGGAGGGGGGGCACCCGCCAAGGTGCGCCGGGAACCCCCCGGGGCTTTCGAGTACGATTACAGGGGAGTGTGTGTGTGGGGGGGGGTGTTACAGCCAGAGCCTTCCCTGCGCGCAATCCCTTTAGCGAGTAATCCACGCGTGGGGGCCCGCACCGTAATCCCCTGCCGCGGCGGCGGCGGGGGGGGGGACCGGGGAGCGAGCGGTGCCTCCCGCGCCCCACGGGACGGAGGGCGGCCGCTGCCCAACCTCCCCCCACCCCCCCTCCCCCCAAACCCCGGGCACCGGGTGCCACCGCGACCTCCCCCCCCCGCGCCCGGCTTCCCCCTCCTCCGGGGGGGGGGGGGGGGGCCTCCCCCTCCTCCCGCGCCCCCGGCACCTGCGGGCACCGGCGGCGGCCGCCCCGCCGGGGCCGTCGCGCTGCCGGCGGGTGAGATGCGCTGCCCGGGGCGGGGCGGGACCGGGGTCGGAGGAAGCGGGGGGGGGGGGGGATTCGGTATCCCGAAGCCCGGGGTGGGGGGAGGCTGCCGCTGCCTGCACGGGGGCGCGGAGGAGAAGGGGTCCTTTTTTGACGTCAAGCGACCACACTATCACGCTCGCTCGTTCATATCCGGGTCCCCGGGCGGCTCCCCCGGCCCGCGCTCGGCCGTGCGCCGCCGCGCAGGGAGGCGGCGGGCGGGGCGGGGCGGGGCGGGGCGGGGCGGGGCGGGGCGGGGCGGGGCGGGGCGGGGCGGGGCAGGGCAGGGCGGGGCCGGGCCGCCGCCCGGAGGTGGCGGGCGGCGGCGGCGGCGGCGGCGGCGGCGGCGGGGCGGCGAGCGCAGCATGCCCATGCCCATGCCCATGCCCATGCCCGCCGCCTCAGCCGCGCCCGCCTCCGGCCGCCGCTGCCCATGGAGATCGCGCTGGTGACTCTGGAGAACGGCGGCGCCGCGGCCATCGCGGGCGGCGGGGATGCCGCGGCCGGCGGCAGCGCCCCAACCCGCCGGCGGGGCGACTTGCACCACGTCGCCGGTTCCTCCGCCTCGCCGCGGCTGAGCGACGGCGAGGAGGGGGTCCCGCCGCCCCCGCCGGGCGAGGAGCGGGAGCGGCCCCCCCCGGCGGCCCCCGGGGGAGGTGGCAGCGCGGGCAGCCCCGCCGGGCAGGCGGCGGCCCGCGGAGCCCCGCCGCGCCCCCCGCGCCCCGGTGCGGCGGTGGAGGTGGGCCCTCCGGAGGAAGGGGGGCACCGCCGGGGCATGGCCATGGCGGCGGCGGGCGAGGAGGAGGAGGAGGCGGCGGCGAACCGGGGCGCCATGCACCACCAGCGGGTGCTGATCAACATCTCCGGGCTGCGCTTCGAGACCCAGCTGGGCACCCTCAACCAGTTCCCCGACACGCTGCTGGGGGACCCCGATAAGCGCATGCGCTACTTCGACCCGCTCCGCAACGAGTACTTCTTCGACCGGAACCGGCCCAGCTTCGACGGGATCCTCTACTTCTACCAGTCGGGGGGCAAGCTCCGCCGGCCCGTCAACGTCTCCATTGACGTCTTCGCCGATGAGATCCGCTTCTACCAGCTGGGTGAGGAGGCCATGGAGCGCTTCCGGGAGGACGAGGGCTTCATCAAAGAGGAGGAGAAGCCCCTGCCCCGCAACGAGTTCCAGCGCCAGGTCTGGCTCATCTTTGAGTATCCTGAGAGCTCTGGCTCAGCCCGGGCCATCGCCATCGTTTCTGTACTGGTCATCCTCATCTCCATCATCACCTTCTGCCTGGAGACCCTGCCGGAATTCAGGGACGAGAGGGAGATGCCTATGCCCTTGCCCCCACAAAGCGGAGCTTTGAATGGCACAACCAGGGACTCCCCACCCGTGCAGCCACCCAGTAGCCTCTCTGACCCCTTCTTCATCATCGAGACCACCTGCGTGATCTGGTTCACCTTTGAGCTCCTCGTCCGCTTCTTTGCCTGCCCCAGCAAGCCCGAGTTCTCCCGCAACATCATGAACATCATTGATATCGTGGCCATCATCCCCTACTTCATCACCCTGGGCACCGAGCTGGCCCACGAGCAGCAGCAGCCCGGGGCTGGCAGTAGCAATGGGGGCGGGGGCCAGCAGCAAGCCATGTCCCTGGCCATCCTCAGAGTCATCCGCCTGGTCCGGGTCTTCAGGATCTTCAAGCTCTCCAGGCACTCCAAGGGGCTGCAGATCTTGGGGCAGACTTTGAAAGCCAGCATGAGGGAGCTGGGCCTCCTCATCTTCTTTCTCTTCATCGGGGTGATCCTCTTCTCCAGTGCTGTCTATTTCGCTGAGGCTGATGACCCTGAGTCTCATTTCTCCAGCATCCCCGATGCTTTCTGGTGGGCGGTGGTGACCATGACCACTGTGGGCTACGGGGATATGCGACCTGTCACTGTGGGGGGCAAGATTGTGGGCTCCTTGTGTGCCATCGCGGGTGTGCTCACCATCGCCCTGCCTGTCCCTGTCATCGTGTCCAACTTCAACTACTTCTACCACCGAGAGACTGATCACGAAGAGCAAGCTGTCCTCAAAGATGAACACAGTAGTGCTCAGGGCAGTGCAGCTGGGGGAGATGCGAAGAGACGATCCAGTAGAAACTCGCTGAACAAATCTGTTGTGCACTTGGAAAACAGTGAGGGGTTTAATAATGGCACCGGCTCCCTAGAGAAAACCAATATCAAGGCAAAAAGCAACGTAGATCTCAGAAAATCCCTCTATGCTCTCTGTCTGGACACCAATAGGGAAACAGACCTGTAAGGAGAGGAGAAAGTTAGAATTCAAAGATGCAGAAGGATTTGCCGGTGTCAGAAACTTGCTATTATAATTATTCTTTTGGTACCAATTAGTTTTTTAAAACAGGCTATATTTTATAGATTGATCACTGTCCTGAGCAGTCCTCCAGGAATACATGTTTTTATGTTCTTTTTCCATGACACAAAGGGTCGCCTATTTTTAAAATAGACTAAGAATAAGCTACGCTCCATGATGCAGGAGCTGGTAAATCATGACAGTGCAAAATCGAAGTTGCAGAAACTTAATTTAGCAAATGGTAGTTGGTTTTAAATGGGTCATTTGTAACCAATTCAGTTGCTCCAAGTTTAGTATTAAAGAGTTGGGGGATGTGTGTGTGGAGAATGAATGGATTGGGGGGGGGGGGGGGGAGGTTGAGGGGTTTTGTACTGTAGTTTCAAACTGAAATTATTCCAATATATTTTATATCTGTATAACTATTTACGGTTAAAAGGGGATTTCTTATTCCTGTGAAATAAGTAATCTTTAAAGCACTAGGAACATTAGCAGGTCAGCACTTTCAGAGTTTTCCACTTGTGATCAGTACAGATCTGGTTATCTAGTATGTGAAGTGAATTTGGTGCTTTTAACCCTATAGCAGAAAACTTTTGTTGTCATTGATATGTTAGTTTCTTGTGAGCCTTAAATTATTAAATATTGTAGATATAATTCTTTATAAATAATTGTATTAATTACCTTACTGTTTCAGAATTTCTAAGTAGTTCAGTCCTGTGCTTACTGTCCCCACTCAAAAAAATGTATGTGCAGCTTTTTTTTTTTTTTTGCAGTTTTATAGTTTTATACCTTTGTTACATTTTTGAGACTGAAAACAAAATATTGTCTGCTGTTACTGATTTTAATCCAAGTGCACAACAGATCTAAAACATTAGGGAGTGGATAGATATAACAAGAAAGTAGAATATGAGTGCAATATCTGCAAAACTATTTTAATCGTACACTCCAGATTACTTTGGCATGTGTATCAGTCACCTTTATGTATCCGTACCATTTGTGCACACAGTTCACCGTTTTTAATTATTACAGACTGGAAATGGACAGCACTTAGAGAGTCTAACGTGGCATGCTGTGCTACTTAAACAACCATTGCGTGGCTTATATCTTGGACTCAGACGGAAAGCATCACCTTTCATCAAAACACATCCTTGTTTTCTTTTATTTCCAAACTAAACCTTTTCGGTGCTGTGGATTTTACAGTTAAGATGTTGAAAGACGAATGACACGTTATCTTCATCGTGATAACACAGCACTCTGCAGCTTACTAGTGAGGACTGACACAAAGTTGCTTCTTTAACTCAGAGCTGTGCTATCATTTTTCTTGCAAAGGATGTCTCTGTTTTCCCCTAAAACTTCTGTTTTGTTGCTGAAGGATGTTTCATGCCTTTACCGCATACCGTGGCACAGCAAGACTAGCAGAAAGAGAAGTCTCGATTGTCAACGCTCAAGGTTTGTTTCTATCAGATTTTCTAATGCAACTAAGTAAATACTAAATCAGGATTATAATTTATGCAAGTACCTCTGATATATGTACTGTGATAAATTTAAATCAGCTTTGCAAAACAGCATTTTGTCAGTCTCTCGTCCAGATGCAAACTCTGCTTACCCATCCCTTACCATGCCGTTTAATGGTAATGGCCAAATGTGTGATGTTTTTCCTTCCTAGTCAGTAAAACAGGCACGGTGAGTGCCAAGCAGATAGTAATTTTCATGTTTGGTATAAAGAACTGTCACACAGAGCTCAGCCCAAAACCCAGGGGTGAGGGGGAAGAAGGTTGAATCTGATAATAGAGAACAGGATCTTTCACATTAATTTTGGATGTTGGTTTCTTGGTTAGTTTGCTTGTTTATTCAGATGGGGGATGATGCTGTAATATGCTGAGAAAGTCTGCAATAAGGCTGACAGACAAATTGCCCAGTCCAGCTGCATTCCAGACTCGGGCAGATCTCCTGTTTGCTTTAGTGGAAGTTTTTGCATCAAGGTGAAGTGTGGAATTAGCCCTTTGGTGAGGCTGAATCTAAAATGACTCCTAGTGAAGCTTTTTGCTCATGAAAGTAGTTTGATGTACTTTCAGTGATTAAATCCACCTGACCCACCTGAATAAGTACCAAACAATTCAGTGAGTCTTTCGGGATCAATTTTGGTTGTGTCTTCCTCTGACCCCCTACCTTCCTGGCCACTTTTGTCTTCCATAGTTTGCTCTTCCGATTGCGTACTGTGCTGAATTAGACTGTCAGTTCCTCAGAGCAGGGGCAATGTGTATATACAGTCCCTTGTTTAACAGTGGAACCCTGCCTATGGCCAAGACTTCTGGGTGTTAATGATCTGAACTACATAACAGTAATTATTGCAGTTAGTGGAGTAACACAGGTGTAAAACTGAGGCACGTGAAAACAGATTGGGGCTATGGGGAATGAGTTGAGCTGATCTTAAAATCCTTCTAGGAGCTGCTTGAGCTCACTGATCTGGCAGAAAATCCAATGCAGCAACAGCAACAAAGTAGATCTCTTGCTGTCAAATTAGCCAGTTGGAAAGGGAGTGCCGGAGCCAGTGCAGGGAAGGGAGGTGGGAGGTCAGTGGTGTGGGGAAGTGAGGCAGCAGGGAGGAGTGAAATCCTCACCATTCAGTGGCAGTGAACTGTTAGATTATGTCAACTGCTTGTTGAACTCTACCTCATGTTTGCAGAGATACCGCAGGACTTGGTCTTGCAAGATGCTGGGGGCCTTTAACTTCCCTCTGGAGCCAGCCTGCAAGTTCAGCTCTGGATTCCAACATACGTGCCCTGCTGTAACTGAGAGTAGAATTTGTCCCCATCAAGATCAAGCTCTTTGAGAGCAAAATACTGTGATTGCCGCACAGGGCTCTATGCAAGCCTGTCAAATCATTCCCCAACCTTCAGTTTGAACCTGCTGCGTTTTTCCATAATAAAACAAGAGAACCTTCCAATAAAATTATTCTCAAAATATGGTTGAAAACAGTTGTTTGGCTTGGCTTTCTAAACAGTTGTCAAGCACAGTTCAGGCAAACTCGGCTTTGACACCTTTACAAAGATGCACAATTTCTATTCGCTTATATGGCAGTAAAGGATTTGCTTTCTAATGGAAGAGGTTGCTGACAGACACTGAGTAATATGACCAGAAACATGGTCAGATCACAGTTTAGCAAAGCACTTAGCATGGGCTCAGCTTTAAGCACATGCTTAAGTAAAGCGTTGTTCAGCAGGTATTTTAGATGCACAGATCTTTGAGTTTGTTACTCAAAGATGAACTACATACCCTGCTGAAACCTTAGAGCCATCAGTTCCCATTGGGCTTCGGTGCACATGTTTAGGTTGGTGCTACAGTTTGTGAGCCTGAAAACAAGTGGTGCCTCAGGGCGCCACATTCTTACTACAGAAAGAGTGCCTATTCCTGCAGCCACTACTCATCAGAGCAGTCCTCTTGACACAGTCAGTTCCAAACTGAGTACCAGGATTGTCTGCATGAAAAATCGTGACTTTGGCTGGAATGAGAGCGTAATTTCACATTCCATCAGCGAGAACCTGCTTTTGCTGTGATTGATTTTGGTGTCAAGAAGCTTCATTGAGTTCAGTAGTGAGCATGTATCTGTGCCTGGGATACAAACAGTGAAGAAGCCTTGTAACATGCCTGGGCAAATTGCTGCCACAAAAGAATATGAGAGAAAGAGAGAACCAAATCACTCTGAGAAAGCTCCTGTAAATGTGAAACAGGAAAAGATTTTAGGTCATGTACGCCAATTCTAGGCTCATTATGAGAAGGAAATCTGTCCAAACTGTTATTGATCTTATGTTAGCTGACCTGGAATGAAAAGCAGACTAAATAAAATCTCTTTGGACTATTAAAAGCCACAATATATCAGAGCTTAATGAATAGCAAATCATTGCAAACATTAAAAAAACCCCAAAACAAACCAACACTTTTCTGTAAACTCTTTTGACCAGGAGCTACATCATGGAAGATTTCTCACCCTCACATGCCTATATGCCACAGTTATTAATGGCTTGTCATTTTGTGCAGGACAGTATGTACTGAAATGCATTACTCTGCCATTCTTCCATTTTGGGGATGCTGAAGTGAATATTCTTTTGGGTCACCAGTAACGTAAGTTTAGTTTGCTTAGCCTGGCCCCAAGGGGAGTCTACATTCCCATTTTACTTTTCCATCATTCTAAAAGATGATAAGACAGTAACTAGCAGTTACGTAACACCCTTCATGTCCTAGTACTTTATGAACAAAAGACCAATTATCTTCTATAGACAAACATGGTAAAGAAAAGGCTGTGGAAGGGAAGACCGAAACTTTCAAAGGGGGAGAGGGCTAAGAGAGGCACAAAAATGAGTGGGTTTGGCTGGACTGGGGCAGATGTCCAAAATGTGAGATCTCGGGGAAGGGAGGAGAGAGATTCACCCTGTGGTCTCCTTTCTGGTCTCTTGCATGGCTCTTGGTGGCTTTGAAGGCAAGGGCTCTATACCAGCATCTGTGCACTGTGACCCATCTGGTGGGGTCACTGAACACAGGGGGACAGTTAATGCAGCTTTGAGCAGCACGAACAAATCCCACTTTCGTGTAATTTGGACTCTGTAAGGAGAAAATGGCACTTCTGCTGGCTGTTCCCTGGCGCCTTGTGCTGCAAACACTGCTGTTGTGGTGGTGGTGGCGGCGGTGGTGATGGGGGATCTTGATGCACAGCACACCGGGCGCTGCTCTGCAGTAGCTTCCCTCCTCCACGCGCTTCTGTGCACCTCTCGTTGGGGCACAAAGCAAACACGAGTGCACTTTTCAGTCTCACGGAAGGTGTGCGTGCACACAAAAAGCCTCGCTCTCTGAAACGTATCAGGGAAAGCTAGTTCTGAGGTAAAACAGGGAGACTATTTAGCAGCATGCAGCGATGGCGCTTAGCCGTAGTGAGGAATGTGGCTACCTCGCTGAGATTTGTTCGGGTCATTTGGCAAAATGTCCTGACCGGTAGTGAAATCTGACAAGGGCCTGAAGGCAGGTTGCCGCAACGATTAGGGAATAATGAAAGGAAGGCCTTAAACCTAATCAAGACTTTGGCCTTAATACTTGGGCAGTGAGGGGATCGGTATGTTGTATGACAGTCAGCGTGTTGGAGAGACCTCCCTAATAATGAGGAACATGCCATTTACTGTATTTGTAGCTGTTGTAATGCTTGGGGTTTGGGTTTTGTTCTTTTTTTTTTTTTTTTTTTTTTCTTGCTTGCTGTATGCATTAACTGCTTCCCAGTTCTCCCTGTCAGCTTGATAAATTTCTGTTGCTCTTGCCTTAATTTGGGACCTAAGGGTGCTGATTCTCTTCAGCAAACTTGGGTCATGCTGTCAGTCGTCAGTGTGTCAACTCATAATAGGACTAAACACACAGAAATTCTCCAGTAACTACCTGTGAGTCCATTGGCCAGAACATACCCCATATTTATGTGGTGAAACATTGTGAAGAATCTGGGTATTGTATCATTAAAATCATGTGAAATAAGAAGCTTTATTTTAACCGGAGCAGGAAAAAAATAAAGTTCATAATGATATGACTAAAGAATTAATTGGAAATAGAAGTTGCAAAGAGAAATACCAACTTGTTTCAAGAAAAAGAACAGCATTCATACACAATTAGTGTAGATATATTGCAGTGCTTTCTCACTCCTGTAATCTAGTCACGTAGTGTCCTTATTTGGTATTTTTTGATTTCCAGGTATCTATACTGTATTTTTACCAGGGCTGAAAAAGACAAAACCAGAGACAGACCCAGAGCTGTTGTGAACCAGGTGTCTTGAAGATGGCTTGTTTAGCTGGAAGCATTTTTTTTAAATTTTCTCAATAACACCGATTGATGCAATAAAAGTTAATTCCTCTCATCATAAGTACTGCAAGTAAGCATGTTAGCACAGCTTGGTTGAAATCACCTAAGCATCGAAGCCGGTAACTACAGCTCCGGATTCTCACCGCAGTATCAGCACTGACTAACTTTGTTTTGTTCCCCACTGTTATAAATTCATGGGACTTGATTCTGTGCTTGCGTGCCACTTTCCTCTGAATTTACAGCTCAGATGCCCTGTGTACGGTAATCACATATTTTTGCCAGTGTGATGAATCTGACTCAGCGAAGAGTTTGCCATTCTGCACTCTAAAATCTCACTCCAGGGCACAATGAACAGGTAGTCCAATTTAGGACTAGCTTTTTGTCACCAGCTTTGAGGCTTTAAGAAGTTTGTGCTAGGGACAGATACCTGAATTTTATTCTCATTGATGCCTGGGTGAATGGAAAACAGAGCTGTTAAAATCCGGCGGCTCTGACTAAAATCTTGTTTCCGTTGTTCTGAAAGAGATGCGACATCCTTTGTTTTCAGTAGATTTCTCTTTATTTGACTTGGTGTGACCTGAAAACGAGGTTACCCTTTCCAATGGGACAATGTTACT